CATGGAAACTAGATTAACAGTTTCATGTTATCACCCTCGTGCATTCGGTACAGCTGTATCAAGCATAATTATTTACGCTCTTTAATTTGGAGAATTTCAAAAAAATTAGCAAATTTGTGCTAAATGAATTATTCATAACCTCTGAAAAGTGGGTGACCCAACGGGCCACGGGTTGTCTAGTATATATATATAAAAGGACAGAGTAATACAACTCTAGTATATATATATAAAAGGACAGAGTAATACAACTCTAGTATATATATATAAAAGGACAGAGTAATACAACTCTAGTATATATATATAAAAGGACAGAGTAATACAACTTGAACGCTTTGTTAAGTTTCATCTTCATCTTATAATATTCAATTATAATATCTTCTGTCACCACAATACTCCACAAGTGTGAATGAACATCATAACATTAAAATAGTATTTCTCTGTTATTTAACAATTAAGTACTCAGTACATGGAATTCCAAGTAGAATAACGTTTCTTTATTAGAATCCGGTAGCGAAATATTTGTAATTATTTTTTTGCATACAGAAAACTTTCTGTTGATGTAGGATTACATACAGATTTTGGTTTGTCTCAACTTATTTTTATAGTTTTATATACATATTTTGGTTTGTCTCAACTTATTTTTATAGTTTTATATACAGAATTTTGGTTTGTCTCAACTTATTTTTATAGTTTTATATACAGATTTTGGTTTGTCTCAACTTATTTTATATAGTTTTATATACAGACTTGGGTTTGTCTCAACTTATTTTTATAGTTTTATATACAGATTTTGGTTTGTCTCAACTTATTTTTATAGTTTTATATACAGATTAAGGCTTTTCTCAACTTATTTTTATAGTTTTCATTTATATATTTAATTGTATTACACGTGTTTTACAAAGGCTATCTTATTATCTAGATCCTAGTTTCTATGACACCCACTGACACCGGGTAAAAATTATTTGATCATAAAGATGCTGAGGTGATGGGCTAGTCTTGGTGGTCATGTTCTCTTGAACATTGCCAGACCCAAACAAAAAGCTGAGTAGGTGACCAATTCAAGTCCAGACTGCAGGAAAAAGCAGTGCTTCACTTACGAGATCGGAGACAAATCAAGTGGGTGAACATTTCATTATATTCCAAAAGTCGACACAATTCGAGAAAACGTAAAATTCTGTTAGACATTGAACAAGATCAATAAAAAAAACATCACCTTAGTATTTTCAACTAAATGTCTTGTTAAAGAGAAAACTCTTAGTGTCATGGAATTAATGTGAATTAGCTGTTAGCAGTTAATTCATAATTACCAACATGAGTACCCAGTTTTTGTATTAGTCATTGCGTTTGATAATAAATATGGATTAGCTGTTAGCACTTAATTCTTGATTACCAACATGAGTACCCAATTTTTGTATTAGTCTTCACGTTTTGCTAATTAATGTGAATTAGCTGTTAGCACTTAATTCTTGATTACCAACATGAGTATCCAATTTTTGTATTAATCCTCACGTTTTGTTAATTAATGTGAATTAGCTGTTTCTTGATTACCAACATGAGTACCCAGTTTTTGTATTAGTCCTGACGTTTTGCAAATTGGGTATTTATTGACCCAATTTCTCATAATGATTCATTTAAGACAATCAAAATAGATATACATCATCTGTGTTAGGGGTTGTTTAAGTCTGTTTGATATTTTGTAATAGAAGGTTTAATATTTGAATATCTTAAGCGCTTTGAAAGTCATTTACGTGCTTTGTACTAAAAAAAGTTTGTATTCTAATAGCTTATGGTTTAAATTTTAAATGTTTCAATGCAGATTTTTTTGCAATTCTAGTTCCCATTTCGACTAATGGGTGAACAATTTTTCACATAAAACAATGCGATTATGCGCTACAGCTTGCACACGTTCATTCGTTACCTAAATGCACGAACTTGCTATTAACTTCTTAACATTTTAAATTTTAAGATTACTATACATTAAACTTCTTGATATCAAACTACGTTCTTTTATTTGCGCACTTAACTTGTTAATGGAGGGGACGTAGCTATTCCACGGGAGGGCACGTACCTCCTTCTAGTTATCCTACTGTTTATAAAATGGCTGGAAGCTTATTTTTTTTTATAAAAGCATGTATCCTATTCATATTTAAAGACCTATATATAACTACATAATTTTTCATGTCAGAGAACGAATACATCTACACATACAATATTCTTACAAGAGGAACATAGGGTACACATACGTATGATACAGCATTCTTACAAGAGGGACGTAGAGTAAATATACACACAGTATCCTTATAAAGGAACACAGCACACACATAGTATTCTTACAAGAGGGACATAGGGTACATATGTACACAGTATTCTTACAAGAAGGAAATAGAGTAAACACAAACACACACGGTATCCTTACAAGAGGAACACGGAGTACACATACATACAGTGTTCTTACAAGAGGAACATAGAGTGTATACATACACTGTATTCTTACAAAAGAAACGTAAAATACACACACACATAGATATAGTATTTTTGTAAGAGGAACACAGGATAAACAACGTGTACAGCGTTATATCAACATTAAAGCTTCATTAGGCATCAATACGACAAGACTCGGATGATTCTGGAAAACTAAGAATTAATTTTAACTTTTCTCATTGATGTTTCAAACGTAATCAATTTGTCCACCAATACACAATCACCGTAAAGAGTCTATATTGTTTTTGTAAAATATTTATTTGGAGTCTTTTATAAAGTTGAATTCATCGTTGTTTTTTGTTTTTTTTTAGACACAGAACTTATGATTCTCTTCACCGTCATTTGTGTTCCAGACAAGAGATTAACAAACTTATCAACCATCTGGAGACCGACTGTGTGTTTAGGATTCGCTTGATCACTAATTGTGTTCCAGACAAGAGATTAACAAACTTATCAACCATCTGGAGACCGACTGTGTGTTTAGGATTCGCTTGATCACTAATTGTGATCCAGACAGAATTTTAAAAAACTTACAAACCCTCTGGGAACTAACTGTGGTTTCCTTGAATTTACTGTGTTTAGTATCCTCATTCACTTGATGAAGTTCACTTTCTGTTTCTAGGTTATCAATCTATTCTCTTCTTTTATTTTCTCTTTGTGGATCTATTCCTACTGTGCTATCTTGATTTTCTTGTGAGTGATGGGGTTCTTCCGAAGAATCTGGTTGGATACTGAAAAAGTGTGTGATTGGGACTGTTGACTTAGCATTTTCGCGTAACATTTTCTTATTGGACTTGTCGCGTTTTTGAGCACCAGACTTGTATTTCCTCTTGCGTGAGCCATCCATCCTGAAAAATGAACATATGTGTATAGATCTCAGTTGTTGTTTTTTTTCAGTTTTCTTTTTTCTTTGTTTTGTTATTTCCAAAGTGATGGACCATCAATTTCGGGCCCACCGGGAAATTTTCCGGTATCTCGGTGGGCCAGTCCGCCTCTGGTTTTGTGCAAGAAAAGAACCCTCTGGTCAGTAGCTCCAATTTAAGAATGGCTATGTCTGAGCCTTAAGGGTTTCTGACTTGGCTCTTAGCCGCATGTCTCATAAAGTGCCAAGTGGAAAATACCAATACTCAACAGTATATTCAGCCATACCATTATCTGATCTCCTAATTTTCTAGCCACAGTTTAAACATAATGTATCATGTTCATTGTCGTTCTGCAAAAATATTAATTGATTAGTACAAAAGACTTTTTAAAACTATCACATATGTATTTACACGATTAAGTAAACACTGTTTGTTTGGATGTTAGTTAGAATATTCTTCACTGTGGATATATCAAAAATTTCTATTTTTGACGAAATCATAATTAAAATGTTTGTAATTTGTGTTCTGGAAGTACTACCAACTGAGGTGGTGAACGACTCTGTTTCAACCTGGACAAACCCGCCATTTGTTGTTATCATGAAACTTAATAACAAATAGGTCGTAACACTTTACAATAAAAAATCAACCTATTGTGACATTCATGTTTATGTATAAACTGAAAGAACTTTAGCTGCCAGATGACTTAAATCATCCTCAGGGAAAGCTACTGGCATAGATGACAAAACTATATTTTTAAGTGGAAGTCACGTAGATAATACATTAACAAAATATGACAGTTCTGCCACGATTCTTAACTACGCTGACAGTGATTTATCTTTCATATAAACCTTGAGAACTATCATCAGTTTACCTCTTTATTATTTTCATTTTTTCTGTTTCTTCTTTCTAACTATATATGGAATTCCACGCATTACGTTATTCTAGCTTTTGCTATAACGTCTTTCACTCGTGTAATTGCATCTATAGTTCACGTCACATACATACAAACATGTACCAAAAACTCTATGCTTAAATAGGTTAACTTGGTTCAATAACAAAATGTTTTTTTTTAGTAATACACTCAGGCGTATATATGAATACGTTTAACAAAACTAAATAAGTTTTTATAATTCACTAAAGTCCATAAAGCTATTAAATTTGAAAAGCTTTTATTCCTGTACACTCCTCCTTCAGTATATCGGTTCTTGCAATCAGCTCACTCAGGCATGAACGTGTTTTCTAAGAACCAATTGAAATGTTCTTCCAATGACAAACAGACTTAAAGAACCTGTATTCTAATCAGGACCAGTGGGTCCATTGAGCATACTAACACACAGAGCATCACAAAGCGTCTCTTACAGTTTGCTGTAGCTACTTTGTTACAAAGGCGCGAACAATAAAAATATTATCTATTCACAACTCTTTCCGCTTTTGTCCATTTTACATTGCGTGTTCAAAAGCTCGACAAAGCTTGTTTTATGTTTGCTCCATTCTTCTCGCTGTTGTAATTGCCCACTTCAGGCAGACCGGTCTTACATGGATGCACATTTAGTAGAGTGCGCGGCCGCTTCCAGTAGGCTGCACGTTCAAACTAAGAAATCTACCCATGGGCACGTAACGGATGAAAATCGTGTATACTGAAGGTAATGAGCTTTTGTCGCTAAGAGCGTCGCTAACACGCAGTCGCCTCATCGAATTGTCACTAAGCCGTCTATGATGCTGGGAAACAGACGCGTTTATACGAGATCGCGATCATGTTGCAAGTTCAGAAAGCCATAGATAAATATGTGTTAAAAGTGAAAAGTTAGACAGAACACTACAAGGAATTGGATTTCATTGAAACGATTTATTGAATATATCGAGCAAACATTTTCAAGGTAAGTTGTATGTTTTTGTTAATTTCTTTCCAAATGTTATGCGATACTGAATCCAACATACATAAACCGACTTCTAAAGAGCGATTAGTCAATTCGATTTGTTAATGTCAAAAACCCATATAAGAGCAAGAAAAATTATATTCGTTTACTGTGGTACTTGTTTGTCAGCATGTATATTTAAATATGTCAGCCTGTCATGGGCTGATGTTAGGGCACTCGACTCGCAATCTGCGAGCTCGAATCCCGTCACCGACGATGCTATCATTACATCCGTGTGGACATTATAATGTGACTGTAAGTTTCACTTTTCGCTGGTAAAGAGTAGCCCAAGAGTTGGCGGTGGGTGTTTCTGTTCCTCTAGTCTATGACCTCATAATTTGGGGCGGCTAGTGCAGGCAGCCCTCGAGTAACTTTGTGCGAAACAAACAAATCAAATATGCGTCGCGAGCTTAGAAATAATAATAATTGTACACGTTTAGTTTTCAAAGTGATTCGACCGTACGTTCAAGTTCAAAGCTATGTCCCATAAGCGATATACGAAAGACATGGATAACACAAACATCTATGTTTAAGTGTGTTACACAACAGGTTTTGTCGATCATAAATTTTCTGTAATTCCAAGCGATCCGTCAAGTTTTATTAATTGGCACAAATCTTTGCACTTAACAACTAGAACTATTTCCTTTTTTAAACTGTTCGATCTTGTTAACCTAGTTAGATTTAGCTATGTTACTCTGATAATCATTGAATAAAAAAAAAGATGTGTAAATGACTCATATATGTTCTCCCCAAAAATGCTGTTAATAAATGCTCTCTCTCGAGAACGCTGTTAATAAATTGGAATGAAGCTCAAATTTACACATGACCTCTATGATATTTCTAAGTCACTCCAGATATTGCAGTATTCCTAAATTTTGAATATACTATTAACAACGTATGTTAGAAAAATATTTAAATGTTACTCTCCAGTTTCACAGTTTGCATTATGTGGACAGTATTTGTTAGTAAAGTTAGATCTTCAAAGGGAACGTTAATCTATAAAACCACATTTCCAGAGAGAAATATCCATCTTCGTACATTTCTATAGGTTAACCTACAACAGTTCTTTAAAATCCCTGTACTGTATTCATTACTTTGTAAATGCATTATTTTGAGAGAAAAAAAAATTGTTTATCAAAGTGAAAACAATGCTTGTTTATTATTTTCCATTAAAGTTACCCGAATATAGACTAAGAACGTTTTCGGGTTTTGAAGGTTTGTACGGTTTTGGAAGTCGTAGTGCAAACACGCTCCACGCAATAAAACGAAGCGGATAAAAATCAGTAAAAATATTATTTTTACTTTATCAGTTGCATAACATTTGTAACATTTCCGTAATTATTTCCACTTGATGGAAGATTAACTATTAGTTCTCTCCAATCAAGGAATTTCATCTTTTTCCGAAGAATGCTGTATAGTTTCACAAACATGAAATACGTGTTATTTCCTGGAGAACGATTACCACCAGTAACTAATGATAGAGAAACCTTGTCTCGTGAAGCTGGAATAAGAAACTATTATGAAGGGAATTTCGGGATCATCCTTCGATATAACACTTGTGTTGATGAGAGACGTTTGATAAATCCCAGCATGAGACACCATACAAAATATGTAATGTACTTCAACTGACCTTTTACAAAGACGCATGAGAAAAGACAACAATACAAAGTATTGCTTTTCCTTTTCATAGTTATTTTTGTCTTTCTGTTCGTTGATGAATGCAAAGCGTGTTCATTCTTATGTGCACACGGAAACGGTGTATATGTTTGAAGCTCATTGTTATATGTTTGAGAAAGTTCCATCAAATGGGCAAAGCCCATGGATGTTTCTTTTGTATAAACTTGAGCCATAAATGCATATAAATTGTCTTGGTTTCACATCCCCGATCAATCCAAAATACGAAATCGCATTCGCAGCTCGACGGTAAGCTTTTAAGGGCTTATACGCTAAAAATCGGAATTCGATACGTGTGGTGGGCAAAGCTTAGATAGCCCATTATGTAGCTTTGTGACTAAACGCAAAAGAGTAGTAGATAAATTTAACCTGTGTTTTTTATTTTGTGGAAGATAACTATTTTTCACACAAAAACAAAAAATATCAGTTATATTAATATTATCAAATTTGTTAATAGGGGAATTACTTGTAAAAATAACGTATTTGATTGAAGGAGTTACAGCATTTAAATTCATTTTGTCAAGAGCGTTTTGTATTATTACAGCCTTTACACATGAAATGATATGTAACTGCCATTTATGTTAGCTAACATGATTAAACATCATGAACATATATTTTCCCTTAAAAATGTGAAAGATAAAAGCTCAACAAACGTTTTGAAAACGGAAACAATTTTTAAAATATAAATGAAACCTTTGGCACATGAAAAAGAACATCTTCTAAATAATAAAAAACTTAAAAATCTTAAAAAGCGTTATATAAATGTTTTCCAGTGGGCCAGCGGTAAGTTTAAGGATTCACGACACTAAAATGTAGGGTTCGATTCCCACTGGTGGACATAGGAGATAATCGGTACTTAAGAAATCAAAATACATTTACTTAAAATAACTAACTATAACAACCCCTAAGTGAAAAAGAAACCTTTAACAAATTTCAGTTCAAAGCAACTAAATTATAAAGGATAACATATCTTTAAAATCAAAGAACTTAAGTAATAAAACAAACTTTTTTTAACATCCCGAATTCTTTCCAACCTAGATTCAATGTGAAGTGGTTCGATTTTCTTGGTCAAGTAGCCTTGTAGCTTTGGTTATCACTCATTTGTCATGAAATTACGTGACTTTATCATGTGTAAAATACCGATACCTTGTTTTGGGGATTTCGCGAAAAGCTACTCGGGTTTTATCTGCTCTAACCGTCACTGATTTAGAAATGGTAGCCTAGAGGGAATGAAACTAATCAACACCATCCACTTCCAACTCTTGGGCTACTCTTTACTAGCGAATAGTGGGACTGACTGTCACATTAAAGCACTCCCACGGCTGTAAGGGCGAGCATGTTCAGTGACGGGTTTCAAACTCGCCACCTGCAGATGACGAACCGAGTGTCTTAACCACCAGGCCATACCAGGACCTACTGGAACTTAATAGTATAAATTCAGCTATAGACCAGAAATTAATAAAGCTCAGGTTATCTATACGTAACATATTTATGGTATCAAATATTTGCCACACATTTAGTGTGGACAAGAAAAAACATATTCAGCCATGGATAAGGAAGACAATAACATGTTAAATTAATATTAACAAATACAAAGAATTCTCGTGCACATATTAAATTAGGTAAATTGCATTCGTTGTAAGTATTTACTTATTCGAACACTTTGCTTGGTGTCAGATTTGAGTAAAATATTGAAGAATTATTTAAATAGAAGAATCATACTCCTTCTGCACTGTGCACAAACTCGTCATAAGTGTGCAATAACACCTGGTGTTAAAGCCTATATACGTAGAGAACAATTACACTGAATAATTACCAAAGATTTTCTCTTGTTGTGGAATTTATCCTTGTAGTTTAGTTTATCTAAGAAGAATACTTCTAAGCCTAATCTGTAGATATATTTTTGCCAAAAAGTTGAACATTTGTTTTTTAATACTATTCACTAATCTTCAGTGTCTGTTAGAGTTGTATTCATTGCTTTTCAGTAGTGGGGATCGTGATTTGGAGATCTATAAATGTGCAATTTGCCAAACATTCGATGAGTGTCCTGACAGATTAAAGGCAAAAATTGATCATTCTTGAGCAGTATTTGTTCGATATTTGGATCTTCCTGTTGTAATAGAAAGTTATAAGAAAAGTAAAACTTTTGAAACTGAATCGTATATTTAATTGGGTTTCAAAGATTTAGGAACAAAACTAAATAATGTCTGTACATAAACTAATTTAAGCTCTTTTATGATAATGATCAACACCAAACAATTTGTATATTTATATTATCTTAAGTAAAGGTGTTGATAAAGTTAATTGAAAATCATTCTCAAATTCCACGGTGAGTTTTGTACTGAAGTATTGCGTATTTTAATATTTCTAAACACAGCTGGCTTAATCATTATCGTAAGAACCACAAAAAGAACCATCAACATACCTCGTGTGATACAATGGCTTAAACTTATAAAAGCAATAAAATAACTAACGTTTATCATGGTAACACAAGAATAACTTGACCGTGATAGAAGCTTGACAGGAAACCTTATCAACCCCAATAATTTATTCATCGCTCTTATTAATTAAAATGAACCGAGGATACTCGTGCCAAATTTCAGCAGTTCTTTAAATGGATATTTAGGAACATTTCTAAGTACATTCAGAAAACTTTTGACCAACTGTGGACCTATAGACAACTTTTACTCTACTAATCATTGAAATTGGGTCATCTGCAGTAATAAAATAAAAAAAACAAACTTATTCAAGTTCTTTGATAAAGTTTTTTCTTCGTATTAAACTTTAATGGTTAAGCAAGATAAAGAAATCTGTTTTTCTCGGGCATAATGAGTTATTGAATTGTAGATAAATCGGCATTCCAGAGCATTTTATATGGTTTATATTCCCGAATTGTAGCTTTTATAGGTGTTTTTGTTTTTCCAATATATTTGAATCCGCATTCATAAGGGATGTTGTAAATGATGTTTCTGCTTTTCATTAGGTCATTAGGTAGTTTTGTGTGTACCATCTGCGATCATATTGTGTTGTGACTTCTGAATACTGTTATGACTTTATGCTCTATTCATATCGTCTTTATGTTTTTAGAGAGACCCTTTTACATGAGGGAATGTGGATATGTGTGTTTGAGTTTCTTCCTGATTCGTTTTTATCTTCTTTATTTTGTTCTTTATCAAGTACTTCAAGAATCCATTGTTAAGGAAGGTCGTAGTTATGTGTTTTTCTTCTTCCTTCTTAGCAACTTCTGTACTGCAATCTTATTCATTCTGGCTACCTAGGCATCGTAT